CTTGGGCGTTGAACATGTCGGCAATAACACCGCCAGCGTTGGTCATGGGCGAAGCACCAAAGGTGCCGGCGAAGAAGCGCAGGATAATGAGCGTCTCAATGTTTTGCGCACCGGCGGCACCGGCGTTGAAGGCAGTGAGGGCGATGTAGGTGGCGATGAAGAGATACTGACGTCCGTACAGCTCAGAAAGGGGTGCCCACATGAGAGGACCGACGGCAAAGCCAACAACGAAGAGGGAGACGCCCAGGATACCAATTTCGGTCGACACCTTGAAGTCGCGAATGACCTCTGCGATACCTCCAGAGAAGGCCGTGCTCACAAAGGCAACGGCCAGGGTGGCGATGGCCTGCTCGATGGTGTAAGTCCACTTCTTCCACTTGGGGAAGGTCTGGGGGTTGTGGGCATCCTCGGGGAGGAAGTCAACGACAAAGGGAGCCTCGTGGGTGCCTTGTCCGGGGTATTTCCGTTGGAGGACGGCCTCTGTCACGCCGGCCTGGTCGAAGAGGAGGTGAAAGTAGTTGGCCTTGTTCACGGGCTTCTGGGCCTCGACATCGGCCTCGGTCGCTGTGATGGACGATGATGATGAGTGCGGCGCCGACGCCATGGTGACTGGCGGCTGGCTGGCTGTCCTCGTGGGTATTAAGCTTATCTAGTGTTGGACTGTGCTTGGATGACGATCGTCGTTGATACTACGATAGGCGCTGAAGTCTAGGTCGGATGAGCGAGAGATCTGATCCGTAACCCGGAGACTTGGGACGGCCCATCGTCTATATACTGCGTAGGCCGGACTTGGCCTTGGGTGGGGATTTCCAATGAGATTTCCATCCCCTTCGTCGGTGCCCGTATCAACACACACACCCATCTCCATCGGCCAGGGGGGTGGTGTTGATCCACCGGTGCAAGCCCACTCGGGCGGTTTGTCTTCCGCACGCCCATTTCCCATGACTAAACCGCACGGAGTCGGTCGTAGAGGACGGGGACGAACCAGCGGAGGGTCACTTATCTCCGGCTCGGGTTAGGATCGAACGCTTTGCAGGCAGTCTGATACAATACTTGGCGCGGGATCTGACAGGAGTCACAAGACGGGATTAGGCCAGGAGCCGCACGATTTGGCTTTGTCAGATATGCGATGGCAGATGGTTTGCTGTGCAGGGAATGGACGAACGCAAGCTGAGGTCTGCAGAGTGGATCTCTACTTTGATCGGAGCAGAGCTTTTCTTCTTTCCTCCGTCCGTTTTTTTTCTCTCTTTCAGGTACGTACCCGCTTGCGCCGCATGCACGGCGGAATGACGTGGTTTAGCGAAACCAAGGGACGGCCACACCGGGCCTAGTTCGCCGAGGCAACGTGCCAGAGACGATATTTCATGGGCTGGCGGCTCGCTAACGGGGACCCACCAACCGGGATGTCGGCGGACCTGGCCACCGTGCCGAGGTGCAGCCGTTCCAACTCCAACGGATTTCGAGACCATTGGCCTCGAGCCCTTCGACTAGGTATCAGTCTGTCCCCCTATTTTCTCATTACAAAGCCTTGAGACAGGACATTTCGGACTTTGCTCAACTTCGTCTCACCCCCAAACGAACGCGCACGCACTCGCAGTCGGACTACTGCGAGGAGGCCGACTCTTTTAATATGTTTGACTGATTCATGGCAAGGGATTCATCATCGTCGACCACCAACGCCGTCCGAACGGCATCCCACCAACATACGATGCAGGTGCAGCTGTGCAGCAAACGACATGACGGATGAACTACTAACCAGGGGCTTATCGTCTGTTGGCGCTACGCTGTACGGACCTCCCAGATCTGGACACCCGGTGATAAGAGGTTGCGAACCAACCAGTCGATTCGAGCATTCGGTGCATCGGCCGAGCGACCATCGACAGCAGTCTGTCGTACGGATACATCGACGCTGTTGACTTGCACAAGCAGGGCTTTTTCTGATTTAGCCTTTGACACCTTATTCTTATTTACAAAGTAAAGGCATTCGGAGCCGGCCCACTACTCCGTACCCATCGGGACCGAATCTACAAAGTGCACGCAGTTGTGGCGTCCGGGAGGGCCCCTGCATGTCTGGCCTGCTTGGCTCCCGAGCCGTCGGCTCTTGCGAAAATCTGTAAAATTGCTTGATTGCCTGGGCCGCCGTATCCCTCTTCCGGACTGGTCAGCCCATGAAATCTGGGTCTCGAAAGACCATGCGAGAGTCCCATTCGATCGTGCCGTCACAGATCCACCTTTTGCTTATCAACTCAACCTCGGAACTCGAGACTTGGCAGACCGCAGAGGCGCACTGTTTCTGTCTTGTTTTTACGGCCCACGGCCTTTGACCGAGCGGCTGCAAATCACCAAAGGCGAGCCTCGGCTGTCAATTGTTGTGGCGTCGAAAATAAACTCGAATTTCAATGTCACCCTGCCTAACCCATGCAATTGGTCCCGCTGGAGCTAAATGACGATCGATCAAAGGACAACATGTTCTAGAACGGCGTCCGTCCGCGATGCACAATCTCAGTCTCGCCCACGCCGTGCATCCGCAAGGCGTATGCCTCCGCGGGCCTTGAAGTGCCTCATAAAGTCCGAACTGGGTCCGGCAGCGCGACGGCTCCGGTCCGCCAAGACCAATCCTTCGGCGAATTTTGTCGTCTCCTTGAGACTGGCCCCGAACAACTTCATCAGCTCCGGCCACGCGTCAAAGTGCTCGACCGAATCAACCTTGATCTCGACGAGCCGGAGTTGGTTACCGGTCGAGATGATGGGCAAGAGGTGCATCAGCAACGACGTCTTCAGGTCCTGTCTCTCCTTTTCAAGGAGATCTGTCACTCGTTAGTCCGAACACCCCCGGGAGAGCACCCGACTTACAGCACATCCGCAGCGCAAACTCGATGTCGACCACGTCCTCCGCGTCCACCAATTGAATGTACGGCACCGTGTGGTTCCAGACAAGCATGCGGGTGATCTTCTCAAATGACTTGGCCTCGTTGAGCAGGCCCGCCGCCAGGCCTAGCCTCCACAAGTCGCCGACCGTCAAGTGGTCAATCGACGGCTCGTGGTAGTGCAGCATGGTTTGCGACGCGTATTTGAGCGCGTCAATCAAGTCGTACTTGTCGGCGACAACCGCCACCTCGAGGATCGAGTCCGCTGCCGCGATCTGGCACACGCGCGAGTTCTGGTGGTGCAGGATGTTGAGGATCAGCTCCATGATCTCGGGGTCTTCGTCCGGTAGGCTGATCTTGACGGGTTCTGATCCCCTGTCCAGCAGCTTCTGCCCTTCGGAAAAGCGCGGCCCCAGCATCGCGCCAAACACCCTTGACGCCCGCTTCAGTATGAGCGAGTCTACGCGCAGCTCTGTTGTCTCCTCGCCGAGTCCTACGACGAGGATCACGTCGCCGTCCGGCACGACGGGCACGCCGCTGTAGTTGCGCGACCACATCCGCGCCGCGAAGCTGGCGGGCGACCGCACCTCAAAGAACTTTTCCTGTGTCGGCTTGTCGATCGCCATGTGCTTGCTGAGTGGTTGGTCCATTGTCGGTGGTCGGTGAAGGGTGACGATGACGAGACTTGCAGTGTTTTCCGTCCCCCGACTTTTTTTTCAGTAGATAGTTTTCCATCGCCACCGTTTAGTCTTTCCCCTCAAACGCAGCTCCTTGTGGAGAGTCAGCCTGGTGGTGTCGTGCCAGGAACATCCAGGCCCCTCAGGCTCGGATGAGACGCCCGGCGCAAACGAGATGCCCTTGGTGGTGTCTCCCCCGACTCAGCTCGCGGGCAGTGAGGTGAATGGCGTCAGAGCCGAGGCTGCTTTTGGTCGATTGAGTCTGGAGTTTGGCCGGGTTTCCCCAGCGGGACAGCGTGTGGCCTATGCGGGATGAGGCTGCCCCCTCACGTCTGCGCATAGCATGCGAGTTCTCCCTGCTGACGCGAGCCTTGTTGGGCCGGTTGAAACTTTGAAGGTGCATTCAGCTTGTGGCCCCAATTCTTCTGTTTCGGGGTTTATCTGGCTGGCAAGCCCCATGAGAGTTGTTTGATGGGAATATTTTCGGCGAGAGCGAGGAGGAGGAGGTGGTGGCTCGAGCTTGTCGGGAGGGGCAACGATGTCGGCCTTGGTCAGCAACGAAGGTCATCACAAAGGCCTGGGTCGAGTGGCTCAGCCGGGTTGTTTCGGTGAGAAAGTGTTAACACCCAGTCGTCGAATTCTGCTCGGTGTGGCTGAGATTGGGCACTTTGGTAGTGACCAAAGTCAATTCGACTGCGGCTGATCATGCGTCGGTGATCCGCAGTGCTGTGACGGAGGCACGTGTTGGCTGTGGCGGCGGAAGTCGTCCCATCTCTTGTTGGTCGGATGGCTGACATTGTTGGTCATGACCTGATTTGCGTACGATGGCGGGATATGCCGCAGCAGAGCCTTGGATTCGAAGAATCGTTAGATCTAGGTTTATGATGATGAAGCCTACATACCTTAATCAAGCGTCGTTCAGACTCTCTATCCTATTCTTTCATCAGTGTTATCCAGAAAAAAGACAGCCGTTATTTCAAAAGATAGATGACAGAGACGAGATGATAGCCAGAGGGACCATAGACAAGATCAAGGGGCCTCGATATGACCACAGACCATATGGAAACACTCTTCTCATGTTCCAATTACCGCCATTCCTTCCTCGTGTGAGTCTGAGAACTATATGCAGTTTCCGTCCACAAGAGCACAGAAGTGAATCGCTAGGGAATCGAACCCTACCCGTAGATTGCTCTGGGGCCGCCAGGATGACTTTAGGACTGCGGTCCAAGGATTTTCACCTTAAATTCGGGCTTTCGCCCCACAAGAAGATGAACTTCAGGCTTTCGCCTAGTAAGAAGTGAGGTTCAGGCTTTCGCCCAGCGGCTTTTGTCGAGTAGTCGAGACGCTTCGTCGCAACGAGCTAGAGGTCAGAGCCATCATAGCAGGTGAATGAATCCGACGATGTATAGATCGATATTGCGAAAGTTTTCCGAGGGAAAGGAATCGAAGCCTCGGTTTAATCGTAACCAAGTCTGGCGCCAACGTTGTTCTCATGATCATCGTCTGAATCACTCAAGGCACCGATGAAGGCTTTCCAGGTTTGGAAATCTGTCCGAGAGGATGTGCCAGTAGAATTTGCTGGGCGCGGATTGAGCGTCAGGACCGTCGGAGCACCAGAGGAAGAAATCTCATCGGCTTTGCGAGCAGGAGCAGGAGAAGAAAGAAGGGGCATGGGGGAAACGACAGCGCCGGAGATCTCTGAGGCCACACCACCATCGTTACCATATCTCTCCGATCTGATCTTCATCTCGTTGGTAAAGAACTCTTGTATAAGCCGCATGCGTTCAGCTTCAGTTGGAGCAGCGAGTCCAGATTCAATATAGTCGAAGGCTCGTCGAGCCATGTCGAAGTCATATCGCTGAGTTGTTCGAGAAAGAGATGGAATTTCGACGGTGGGACCCGTGGATGAGACAGGATGGGGCATCTGTTGCTCAGGCGTTTCCGCAGCGCTGTTGGCTGCATTGGAATTACGAAGCCTGTGCCTAGCAGCGGCTGGAATAGCCTGGTACGCAGTTAGAAAAGCGTGTTGTGTGTAGAGGAAGTTGAACTTACGAGGTTTCTGCCTCTGTCTAATTGGATGACCAACTCGCGGGTGCCTCTTGGTCCTGAGTACATGACCCCTTTGAGGTCTCGATCGGCCCTGACACAGTCGTTGCGCTCTCTGAACGAGAGAAACACGACTCCATCGCGAGGGAGGCCAGTTGAAGCTGGCAGAGTCCGGCTTGGCGAGCTTCGAATTGAGGAAAGCCTCGACGCGGGCCCTGGTCTCCGCAAACGGGAGGCTCTTGACTCTGAGAAGTCTTCTGTTCTTGCGGTAAGGAGAAAGGACAATGTCGAATCTCTCCTGGTCGTCCTTGTCGTTGGCTTCAATGCCGCGGCTGCCGCTGAATGCCATTCTATGACGTGAATGAATGACTGAATCAACCTGTAATTCGTCGCACTTACCTGGGAAGTCTTGCTGAATGTAATTTGTTTTTCATTTGTTGATATTGTTGAAATCTTTCCAGAGAAGTTGCAGTGGAGAAAACCTGATGCGTTGGTGTAAGGTACCTAAGGTAGGTGGATACCTTACCTAGGGAAAGAGAAGTATGGCCAAGCGAGAAAGGTGCATGAGGCAGGTACGTGAGGTAGGTACGTTCGCAGGGTAAGGCATCTTCTAAGGTTGTGCTTTCCAAGGCATCTTGAAAAGTTAGTAGGCAGCGCGATGGTTCACTGCTCAAAACCGACCTTAGCTTTATTCCTTTTATTCCTATTACTGCTGCTACCACTGATACTATCGCCGTAATTGCTTCTTATCTCTCATGTATTCCTTGTGAAATACGTTTCAGAAAGCGCAGTGTGATACCAAGAATAACAATACGTAAAATATAGATAGTGTATAAGACGGAGCAGGCATGTGGTCTCTCGCCTCTCGGCTAGGCTCATTTCCTCCGGACGGGAACAGGAGGTGGGATAGAAGGCATCGAGCTGATCAAGTCGAAACAAACGCTCGGTGGCAGCACACAGAGGAACAACAGCATCTGATTCCGAATGCCCTGGTAATCACCTGCTGAATGACCGTGGCAGAATTCCCAGCTTGTGAGAAAGCCACGAGGGAAAGCGGGAGAACTTCTTTTAGTATAGATCATTGTCGGTGTCGTGTTTTGAAACACAGAATCTATATATCTCTGTTTCCCCGGGTTCCCGACCGATTAGCCCTACGCCTAGCGATTTCTTCCAACTCGAGAATGGCACTCTCGATTACATCGGCCTCTTCAAAATGCGCCTCGTAGAAGTCTTCATAAAAGCCTTGTTCGTCAGAATCTTGGTCGCATTCGTAGATGTACTCATGAAAGGCACCAGCAGCCCCGGCAAAGTGACTCATCAGGCCTATGCGGTATACAAGGTCGAGTAGATCTCAGCTTGGTAGAAGATCTGGCTGGATAGATAGCTGAGGTCTACGATACAGGGATACCACTCAGTACGTCGAAATCGCCCTGGCTCTCAGCTGGGCCCCCTTCTTCCAGATGAAAATGGGAAGAGGGACGGCAAGTATTGCGCCGACAAAGGCCATCAAGCTATTGGCCCAGCCGTATCCGAGTGCATGGTACATACTCGGGGCAAACAACGGGAACAGAAAAGCAGTCAAGCTCTTGACAAACTGAATCGCTGCCATGGCACTACTGGTATGCTCTGCGTACGCGTCGATCACGTAGGCCGTCACTGATAACTTGTCAGTCATGTCACCAATAGGCCAAATCAAACTCACTAGGCATTCCACTGAGCTGCATGCCAAACATCATGACGACAACTCCGATATCGACTATCAGCCAGTAGAGGCGATACTGTGCTGTCCAGCCGTAAAACAGAGTCCCCAGCCAGGCCGGAACAATACCAAAGAATGCGAGCATGACTCGAGACTCTGGCGTAGGTTGGTCTCGGCGTTTATACAAGCGATCCAGTATCAGTCCACCAAATTGAGACCCGACAAGCTCTCCAAAAGAGCAGGCGATGTAGTGCAATCCGCTAATCTCCACAGACTGGCCGTATTGCTGTTTCCAGATGTCTGCAAAGGTCGACAGCGTGACATACAGGATACCATAGTTGAATCCCGACAGGACGGCCGACACCTGAATAATGGGATGGAAGAGAAGCAGACGAAGCGGCCTTGTCAGGGAGTTTCTTATGACTGCTAAAGTGGACTTGCCAGCGTCGATTCTCTCGCTGAACGTGTAGTATCTCGTTTCGCCGGTTTCCTTGCGAAGACGAGCAGCCCGCCGGCGTAGGATGAGCGGACTGTAGGACTCCGGGAAGCTGAAGAAGGAGACAAAGATCATGACAGCTTGGAACATGGAAGTGGACCAGAACATCCATCGCCACGTCGTGCGCGCCGCAATGAAGCCACCAATGATGGGGCCTAGAAGGGGTTAGCTTGGTTAGGTGCGAAATTGGGTCAACTTACCAACGGCCGCACCCAGCAGGGGTATGAGAAGATAGAACCCCAGAGACTGGCCTCTCTGTTCAGGGCGCCAGATGTCGCCCAGGACTCCACCCCCGAGTGCGTAAATGGAACTGGCGCCGAAGCCCGCCAGAAAGCGAGCGGCAATAAGCGTCCCCTTGGTGTTTGCGAAACCACAGAGCACGTTCCATATCAGAAACCATACGCTCGAGGCGTGGAGCACGACCTGTCGACCGTAGATCTCAGACATTGGCCCCATGACGAGGGGGCCAAATGCGGTGGCAAGGAGATAAATGGACAACGCCATGGCGGACTCGGTGGAGGTCATGTCGAGCTCCGCCGCAATGTTCGTCAGGGCGGGAGCCATGATTGTTGAAACCATGATGCGATTGAAACCGGTGGCCGATAGTACATCGGTGACCATCCATTTCCGACCCGCGGGCCAGTCGAGAGGGTTCTCGGCGTCATGCGGTTGCGCAAAGGTGACTAAGAAAGGATCCGAGTCCTTTGACGGGGTGGGACCGACCGGAGCGAGGGCAGTTGCGGCCGGTGCCGGGTCCGGAAGGGGGGCTAACTCCAAGTCGACCGACCTCGGTGCCACCGAGACTACACCACTGTCATGCTGAGCAGGATTCGCCATGGTAATGTTCGTTGAGGAATAGTGTTGATTGTGTTCTCATTCAATGGCAATGGCGTGCCGGATATCAAACGGCAGTCGACTGATGGCCGAAGATACGCCTGTTTCTGCAGCCTGGGGAGCACGATCAAGCAACGCGCCAACAAAGCTTTTTGAGGAAGTAGAAATGAAGAATCAGAAGGGTTCGTCTGTCCTTTCTATATGTCAGCGTTGCTCGGTTTCTGGCTGACAACCCTCGGAAATAGGGAGGTGAGGTCGGATATGCGATCCGCCGACCTGCTCAAAGAAGATGCGCTAAAGCAGGCAGCAGCACGTACTATCTTACCTACTTCAAGCGAGAAACAAGCCATTACCATTTTAATGCGTCATTCTTGTGTTCCTACCGACGCAACAACATTGACTCGACCTGCAGGCTCTCCAAGACCGGTGCGCCTAGAGAGTCGGGTTCTCATGCAGGGAATACCACGTACCTTATTGATGCCATGGACTGGGGTACATCCACCGCCGTTGCCGGTCCCACTTCACCGTGCCAAGCCGGCCCCAGGCCTGTCTTCTTGACTACCTGCTTGCCGTATGATGGCCGTGACGAATGAATTTGTTGCGCAGATAAGGCAAGTTAAGTCGGTTCAATGCCCTGGTTTATTCGGTTTTTTTAGTTTTTATTTTTGGATGAGCCATATCATAGCCTGGAGGGTAAAATGTTCTAGTTCGAAAGGGAGGAGATTGCAATTCATCACAAATCTCTCGTTCCCACATTCAAAATCTTCGTCCTAAATCCCACCCGCTTGACTGGCGCTTGTACGCCTCTTAAATCTTTGTATTCTTAGTGGTACCGTTCCCTCGGCCGTACTTGCGTTTATCCCTCTACATATAGCCGACCTGGGAAAAAGGCGGGTTGAGCATGGCCCAAAGAAAAAGTCAATTCTATTCATACAACAGAACAGCAAAAGAGTTCACCCCCCCGGTGCTGAACTAGGGGCTACATCTCTGGCGCACTTTCTGGGACTCGAACTCGGATACTCGCTAAGCCTGTCGTCGAGTAGGCTGGTTGGCGTAAATCGATTATTGACCATTAACCATTCCACCACCACGCCACAGTTTGACCTGACCCGTCGACCTAGACGGGCGCCTGCTGTGCTGGTGACAGGAATGGAATTGGTCTGACCTATATAGGCTTCACCTGTGGCGTCAGGGAACCTTGAGGCATAGCTTGGGGTTGTGGGAGCCGACGAACCAGGTGGAAGGTGCTAGGGTGGCTCCTTCCTCCTTCCCTGTCACGTGCCCAGGGAATGAACCGGCTACCACTGATCATCTCAGTTTCCCACCCTACTGCTCATTCGGCTCATATGTAGGTAAGAGCAGGAGTTCAAGATAACTGCCTCGTCAAATCAATTTCCCAGCGATGAAAGACAAGGCAATGGCATGAGAGGTGTTGATGAGGCGAAGCCACGAACTAAGGCAGTCGAAGCGTCACTTATCATCATTACGTACCTTAAGTGTGCAAGAATTCGAAGACTGTCTTCTCTACAGAAGGTAGTTTACTTAACGAATACGAACCTCACGTGAAAAGAGACCGCCATATTCAGATATTCTTCCAGCTGCCCACTTTCACTCTCCCACCGTCTGATTTTCTTATTTCTCCTACTCTCTAACTTCACCTGTTTCACCTTCCACACACTTCAACACTTTCCATATTTCCTCTTCCCAGCCCAGATTCTGTCCCCCACATTCCACCCTTCCCTATTGACACAAACACCACAATTTGTCTTGTCAAGTGAAATTAAGTAAAACTCGTATGATTCGGTACGCAATGGGTTCTAATTCTGATCGTATGCTGAGTGAATCATGAAATCTGAAGGCGCGCTTCGGCGCGCAGTCAAACGAGAACGCTCTCTCTCGGATGAAGCCCAAGGTTGCAAAAGGGCCCGGCAATCCTCTCCCCCAGCCGAACCTGTGTTTGGACGTCTCCAAGTCACCGCTGATGCTGATGGCATCAGCCAAGTCACCAACAAACGCCCCGACCAGGTAGTCGTCGACTCCATAGCGGACGATGCATTTGCCTCGTACGGGTCACGCGAGCAGGCCTACAAAATGCCCGACAAGATGATGGAGCACGGCAATGGGGAAGTCTTCACTTGTGTCGTCCGCTTCGTGCCAGGACCCCCGTCCTCGCAATTGCGAGGCCCAGAAATACCTGCGATCTCTGCTATACCGTCCTCGGACGTGCCTCCAGCGCCCTCCGGAACGCCTCCTCCACTGCCCCTAGAGCCGTCTCTTCTACCACCTCTGGAGCCGCCTCCTCCGACATCTCTGGAATCGGTACCTTCACTCCCCCCTTCTCCCAAGCAAGGTGCGACGGAATCAGCCGCCAGGTCTAGTCGTGCTTTATCTATACAGATCAAGAGCGAAGTGAGTCCTGGAGTGGAGACTGGTCGACAGGTCACCGACAAGTTGAAAGGCAGCGATGGCCAAGTGGCGCGACCGGCTGGCCCCAAGACAATTCGGCAGGCCCTTGCCCAAGACAATGATCGCCAAGTTGTGCAAAGGTTCGGAATGGATGATCCTGTGCCTTCCCGAGAGTCGCCGGAAGACATGGCTATTGTCCCTGCCAGCAAATCCCATCCTCAGCAATCGAGAAGACAAAAAAACAAACGGTCGCGAAACAATAACCGTGGTAAAAACAATAATAACAACCGCCATGTCTACAAGTCCAGGCCAGATCCAAACACTCACATCATGTTCCGGAGGATGGGTTCTAGGGAACCTTACGACTTCCAGCAGAGGAACGAACAATGCGCCAACATTATCTGTGGCAGTTGCTCGGCCCGGGGCCATCACCTCTTGGATTGCGTTTGGCCAGACGCCAGAGGTGATTTGGTGGGCTGCCCGTTCTGCAACACCCAGGAGCACGTCATGGACCTCTGTCCGCAGCAGCCCTCTTTCGATGAATGGGGTGGGCGTATATTCTCATCTACGGTCGGGCCAACAAGCCGCTGCTGAGGACCACACGCAGCTGGTTCCATTATGCCCATATTGGCCACCGCTTCACCTCCGCTGATGCTCTTGATTTAAAGACAGCAGCTGAGTGGAGGTACGTATTGTCAAAGGGTTTCCCGTGGACCAGATCCTTTGGACAGAATTTGGTAAAGCCTCACAACTTGTCGCGCGGTCCATGGGTCCGTTACGATTACAGAAACGACAGCGCCTCTCAGAATCATTTGAAGTGGGACCCGGAAACGATGAACTCTTATGTTGTGTTTTCAAATATGCGTCTGATGGACGAGCGGTTCCACCCCAACCAAGACCGATAAAGATAATGTTTTGAGGCCGAGACCAAGTGGTCTTGTTCATGCGACCATTCTTTGGCCCTAGCTCGCGGGACCTCGAGATTAAAAAACAGTCGGTCGATGGCCGGTTGAACCTCTGCCAAGGCCGATCGGGACGGTGTCTTGAAGCCAAGATCCAGTGCTCCGTACGTCCTCAAAGTAATGATTGGAGGCGTGCGCCGATGGTGTGAGTTAGTAACGTAGAACTAGTGTCAATAAAACTATGGTAGTTATTATTTGTATGTCTGCTTCAAGTTGCATCTTGCTCCCGGCGCTGTCTCGTCGTTTGGACAAGTATCGGGATTACGCATCTCAAAAGACATGGTTCCGTAGGTATATAGAACCGTTGTGTCTTTGAGTTCATCGTCGAACGTGGCCAACTGTTTCACTCCTTAAGGCCCGCTTATATATGCAGTTTAAACGCTAACCACGTCCAAGTCACGATTGTGGCTCTAAGCTTTTTCCTCTTTTCTCTATTGATTCTACGTGACGATGTTACATGGACCACAGGCAGCTTGTCGATGGTGACGAAAACGTCATGGTAGAAGAGAGGGACTTCTCATATGCTTCTATTTTTCCTAGTGTAGCCCTACAGCGGCTTTCTGACTGCAGGGCGGGTCATTTTCGTAATGGCATCAATTATCCAGTGGCACAACGCTCTTCACGTGACTTAGATAAATGCAACTGAGGCCAGCGGACAGAACCTTCACCATTTCCGTTCCAGGGCTTATATTTTAGGATGAACGATGTCTACTACGCATCCTTGATGCCCACATTGTAATCATGCACCGAATCGAACTCCCGAGGAAATTGATACAAGAAATGGCACATTAAAAACGTGTAGATGCTGACGTGGATCCTGGTTTGATGCCTCAAGAGTGAACTACTGTAGTCTAGCCAGAAAGCTCGAGACAGTTCTGTCCCTCCGTAGTGAACAAGCTTCGTCCGACAACGCCATTCTTGCATGCGTCGTGACATTCGCATCGGCTCCAGTCTTTATATAGCGACGGCGAATCGCTGTTGCCTATGATCTAACAAGGAAGAAAGCATTTCCTCTGTGAGAAAGCAACCTCCATATATGATGTGGTCAGACCAGTAAATATCCGACAGCAATCATATGAGACATAATTAGTGCCATTCTCTTCCTTTTACTATTATTACCGTTGATCCCTTCAATACTTCTTGTTCAGTAGTACATAGAGTAGAGAGGTAGGCAGAGAAGAGCAATGGCAGAAACAGGCAAGCATGTAAGATAGGCAATAAGCGGCAAATCATTGTGTCACTCACTCGGAGGCATTGGACAACACATGATCACACTCTATGCCAGTAGACCAAGCTCGAGAGACTCACCTCCTTGAATCGACGGTCAGAATCGTGTCTGTGGTTGGGAGACGGCGGGTCTGCGGCGACCACGGTACACAACCAAGCAAAGATGACCGCCGTCAAAAGCAAGGTCAATTGTCCTGACTTCTTCATTTAGGCCATCAACCAGCTCGAACAACGTAACGAATGTCTCAGGAAACGTTCCAGAACAATTCTGCACCTCCTTGCATGTGTCCGCAATCAAAGACTGCCACGCGACGGTGCCCTACCATTATGCGTTTCAGATGTCAGGAGTCCGCAAGGGTGCAATGCGGGGGCTGCCAACGATGGACGCTGGGGCATCGCACAACCGCGAGCCAAAATGCAATGGAATCGCGCGCTCATTGGATGGTCAAGGATCATTGATAACCCAGTTCTTTAGGTGATTTGACAGATGCGCCGTGACAGAGCCAAATCGGCATTGCAGGCCGTCACCTTGGGCGCTAGGAGAAATGGCTGCAGCCACACAGAGGAGCGTATCCTTTTGAGAACGCCGGCCGGATTCCGTGATCAACGCCGCTCCGTAGGACGGCGAGTGATGGCGGTAGTTGGAGATTACGGTAGAGCATCCCGGCCTCGCCTGTGGCACCCACCACCGGCATTGGCGAATTCCATGATGCGTAGATGGCGACGCAAGGCACGCAGATAACCAGCGGCGCCTCGCTGACCTGTTGTGGTCCTCTTTGCGGTGGAGGGTAGGATGCAGAGTTGGTGATTGGTGGCGGCTGGGTTGTTGGAAGCGGGCATTTTGCCATTGTAAGGAAATGCATGCGTTGGCAGGGCCCTGGTCCGGACCCGAGCGACTGTCACCGGACAGTGCAAAGATGAGATGCGGAAATGAGCCACGACAGGACCGAGGTACGAGAGGTCGGAGCCTTTCCGCTCGTCTTGGTGTAAGCGGGCTATTGTTTGCTGCAGCCTAAGCAGATGTGTGTGATGATGTCCAACGGCGGTTCGTATCAGGCATTCAAGGTACCGCCATGCTGGTACCGTACGTTCGTTGCCGTGTTTTCTCATCGTAGTCGACGGCGATGGAGCGAGAGCGACTTTAGAGGCGCGAAGGAGGGGGTTCGAGACACTGCTCCATTGCAACGGCCGTAGCTATGAGGCATACTTGACTGAATCGACGCCGTCGTTGGAAGTAAGTGCTGGCCGGAACGGCAAGGCTTATACAGTAGTGCCTTGAAAGGTGAAAACAAAAAAACAATAACGCCAGTGTATGGACCGAGCGTCACTGTCAGAGCTAGATTGGCGGGATGACGGACCCGTCGTTTAACCCGTTCTTAGCGGAGGAAAGCCCTGTGGCGTCGCTGCTGGACCCCTGCGAGAGGTTGAACACAATCACCAACACCTAAGAACCAACAAGAGCGGGGTTGACGGTTGGTGTGTGTGTGGGGACGTCGACATCGAGTGCGAACAGCGACAAGAGGGCGTGAATATATCCGAACATGACCCCACAATGGAACGAGTCTGAGTCCGGGACCTCGACTCTCGCTGCCAAGATGTACGGCAAGATACGCGAACAGCCAACAGCTGGCGTTGAGTGTCGGTACGGATACACTTGCTTGGCTCGCTTGTCTTGGATCGAGTATGGTCGTCACATTCCCATTGTTGGCCGCCACAAGAACAATTCATCAAGTCCCAATCGTACAGTACACCCGAGGGACAGCCCTGCAGTTGATAGAGGTTGATTTGACGGCAGCTCAGCTGGAGTTGGACGGCCAGCACAGAGGCATCTCGCTGCAATCGCCCGCGGTTGGCGATGGGAACCGTCGACTCGGTTGGCGGACGCGGGTGAGAGGTGACCGGCAGGTGGTGGAATGCAGCAGCGCCACTAGAGAAACGTCAGAGAATGGAAAACGAATTGCAAAAGACTGATCTTGTCTCACCGCGCCGGTCGTGTCGACGCCGATTGGCGATGCTCGTTGACAACCGAGACCACCGTCTAAAAGACATGCATATCTGTGTCCCATCCGAACATGTGGCCCGAAATCCAGGTACTCCGTACCGGTCCCGGGGGTTCGCCCTTCTTCTCATCCGGAGATGTGCACGATATGCTGAACTTTATCCAACTCGATTTGCTGCCACCCACCCCGGTCGCACCCCGGGCGTGCGGCCCTTGCCTTTGACAAGCAAACATGAACCCGGATTCAGCGTCACATACCTACTGTGCGGCGTCCACACCAATGGCCCAAAGCTGTAGAGCTGCAAATGACCGCTCCATCGATTGGTCCGTCGATTGGCAGGTATTCGTACGGAGTGTGTCCAGCCACACGTGGAGGTGCACAAGAGTCATACAGACGCGAGACTTGCTGCCCAGCTTGAAGGCCTACAGAATCAAGTCCATGGCCGTGCAAGAGAGGGAGATTCTCCAAGCAGCCGCAATATCGGTTCCGGGTGGCTGCCGGTGCCCGCCACGGCGCATTGGTTTGACAACGAAATGGTTTGTTGTATGCGGCGGGTGCGTGCTGGACAATGATTGACCCGAGAACAATCCAAGGGAGCCTCGGTCGGTGGTGTCGAAAAAAGTGCACAAAAGACCAACGTGCGCTGACATCAGCCCATAGACTGGTCCCTGGCAGCTCGCTGACTGAGTGCGACTTGATTGCCTCGTGTTAACACTGAGAGCTGGTGTCGGCAAGGCATGAAGATCATTACCAATGGATGATGAACGAGGTTGAGCACTATCGACATGCCGACGGAAGGAATTGAGGAATACAGGGGAACGTGGGCTATTCGCCGATCGGGTGAGCAAGCGGCGCGGGTGAATGCCTCGATTGAGAAGCGTGTTTGCTGGATGGCCGGCGGACGTTGAGAATTGGGGGTGACAAAGCGACGGACGTGGGAACTCGGAGACGATGCGTAGCAGGAGCCAGGAGAGCACAAGGAGCGGGCCGGGCTGGGACGAAAGCCCCCGTCCTCCGGGGCAAAAAGGCGGTCCCAAGGAGATGTCTGGTTGTAAATGCCTCGGCGGGTATGTCGAATAGCATACTGCGTAAGGTATCAGTTGGTGAGTCTTTTGGCACGTATGGGCCGGGGTGGTCTGCGATCGTGGACGAGACTCGCTCGCGTGGCACAGCAGAGGTAGCTGGGTAGCGAGCGGGCTGCGGCGGATGCAAAAGAAAGCGACGAGAAGCTGAGCAGGATCTCGATCTCCACAATGCTCACAAGCATGAGCGAGTGCGAGACCTGAAAGCAAATGTCAGCAAGCAAACATGCACATTGGGACATAGTGTAGCCGTAGGATACACACTACTCCGTACAGAGCAGAGGCTCGCCCGAGGCCCAGTCAGCTGAGGGGCATCAGCATGGCGGCGCAGTGGAGGCCGCAGGCTCAGAGTGTCTTTGAGGGCGGCCGAGTTGTATTCCAGAAGCGTACGAGTATGTCTGTCTGGGTGATGGAGATGTGGACTTGGGTGCGTGGAACGACTGGGATGGTGAGGTGAAGCGCAAGCCCCGGTTCCAATTTCGTTGCAGCAGCAAGGACCCAAGTTCCAACAGAGGCAGGTTCCCTCCCCCCGGCCGTTGCAGATGCTGAGTCTGTCACTTTCCTCTGCTGCGTACGGAGGAGTACTACGCAGTAACGTACGTGGGTACGTAGGTAACTTGACCTGCATCGTGCTGCCCGCCGCTGGCCGCACCGTCGAGCCTCGACAGATTTCTAGGTTTGTTAAATCTGTCACTGGAGGTTAACGTACCCGCCAAAGCCTCGAGAACCTCACAACCTATACTACGTAGGCGTACTTAGGGGCGTCAGTCGGGCGTTCGTAGCTTCAGCACTAGGATAGCGCGGAAAGAGAGTGTAGGCATGGCCCCTGGCGCCAATCGTCGGCCGCTAGGTATGGATGCACCCGTCGTTTAGCGGGCCCCAAGGCGCGATTACGTCCCCGCAAACTTCCAGGTTTGAAGAGATGTTGTTGATTCCGCTGTCCATGCTTTTGCTCCCCGAGAAAACAAAGCTTTGCAGTCATGTTGCGTAGGGATACTTCGTACTCATGGTGCAAGTACACAGTAAAATGCAAGGTAAATATAGACGTGTGGCGATTCCGGAACTCGCTCCTGCCGGTCCAGGTCCAGGTCCAGGTCCAGGGGCTCCAGGACGAGGTGGTCCCCTTCCTGGGCCGTTGGAGTCGACTGCGATTCGGTACAAATACAGAGGCTGTCGGCGAGATATCGCAGCGTCGGGGGAATGTTCAAAGTCGACGAGTTTGCGACTGGCGGTTGGGACCAGGGCTTCCTATTTCACTCGTCGAGTCTTGACCCTCGCGGGTTTAAGGCGTGCATGGTCGGGTTGCATTGTCCAAGGCTCCCCGGTACACCCAAGTCCCAAGTTGCAGTTCCGAAGAGGCGTCCAACGCCACCTGATTCGTTGACCCCGTCCACTCTGCTCGACTGGGCGCAGGAGCATCGCATGCGCAGTTCTGCACGCCAATGGAGCCCTTGCCTTTGCACTGTACTACGTACTCCGTACATACTCTGTGGTCCGAAAGGAGGACTGCTGCTGCGTGAGCCTGGCGAGAGAGATGCTGGGTGTGTTGCACAACGCTCGTTGCGATGCATGCGATGGCTGCAATGCATTACTATGAGAAAAGTGCACCAAGGACCGAGGACCGGTTACCTCACTTCAGGCAGGCACCAATTTGCAGTTACCTGAGGTGTCTGTACGGATGGAGTACGTACAGTATGGAGTAGGTAGTCATCAGTGAGGTACGTACGGATACGTACTCTGGGTTGGGCCTTCCCCACACACCTCCATCCAAAATTGGATGTTCCTTCCACCTCGAGTCCCTCCAGCTTTCTCCTCCCTCTTCGTGATCCAATCAGACCCGTTCGTCCAATGAACTGCCCGTCTGATGCTTCAGGAAACGGTACGTACCCTCTCCCCTCGACTGCCTCCAGCCTACAGGTAGGTATTCTCCTCCATACTCCGTAAGGTACTCCTCAGCCCAACTTCATCCGAGTTGCATTCCAAGCTCCGTTCCCATGCACCCGTCGTGCCGTCTCTCTTTTTCCCAACTGGACGGAGGCCGAGTGCGATGCGGCACCCTCACAAATCCCTTCGACCAACCATTCACCGGCCAGAGTCTCGACAGTCGACAGCCACCCCCCCCAGCCGTCCGCCAATGTCGCCTCCTGTCTTGCGGCTTGTCCTGGTCGAACCCATGATCCCGGTCCTTGTCCTGGTTGCTGGACTGGCACCGCATCCTCGTTCAACTCTTGGCCCTGGCTCGCCAGAGCTGGGGTCCCCCCTAAGCCCATCCGTTTCCGCGCCGCCTACCAGACCACCCTATCGCGCTACCTTTCTGTGCCTGCTCGCTCAAATCTTCCAAACGAATGCCTCCCTTCTATCCGTTGGTCTCTCGTCCTTTTGCAGCCAAAATCTGCGTACGATACCCATACTCTGTGCTCTGATGGATAGTACTGATCACTTCCTCACAGTGACCAAAAAAAACGTCTCGAATCCTTTTCGGCCATTATCCAGTCTGGTACGGAGTATTCGCTTACCACTCGCTCGCCCTTCGCGTCCAACAAGTCGCAAGGCCCCAAATTTCTCTCCCCCATCCATCACATTGTCCGACGTGGGGCCTGATCCCGGTCTCTCCTCGACAGGACAAGACAAGCCAACACTGCACCTGGTGTTTTGCGGATGCCGCGTGCTGATGCTGGTCGGCCCTGATCCTCGCTCGCCTTTTGCTCTTTTCCTCTCGCTCTCCTCTCTCTTCCTTCTTCGCCTCTCCTCCTGAGCCAGAAACCATCGTACCTTTGCAGCGGTGCACTTCAACAGACGGACAGAGCGGACAGGGAACCAAGACCCATCCTAGCAGTGTGCAGATACTGTGCAGTCTCTCGTCTCCGTCCTCCACTCCTTCTCTGGCACCGCAAAATCGATTCCTGCAGCCGCGGATTGGCCCTGTTGACTTGTCCGCAGCTTCATATACATACCTGCCAACAACCCCCCACCGCCCACCGTCGTCTTGCCCTCTTCTTCCCTTCACCATACCTGTGCCTCGCTCTGGTCGCACTCCCAACACCGCACACCCTCCCACGCCCACGCCCATCCGACACTGGCCTGATCCGACCGCCAACGTCTACTCACACATCAACATTCATCCGTCTTGCATGCCAAACGACAACATAGTCGACGCCATTCTGTCTCGAACCTCAATTGTCCCGCTGATCGTTCCTCCCGGGTTCTGGGTGCTCCCATCAGACTAGATTTCGCTGGTGCCAACTTGGACAAGGATCTCCCCGGCTCGACTCTCGTCATCTCTATTCACGCCGACACACCTAGCCGCTCCGATCCATCGAGCAACAGCCCGCACTTGTTTGTCGCTGATAACGATTAGACCGTGTCTCAACCGCGCGCCTTCGACCAGTGGTCTGGACAGCGAAAAAGGAAAGGGAACGAGGTGTCTCTGTTCTGTTACGAGCCCTGTGTAGAGACGTTTGCCCACGTTCGTCCGCCAAGCAGCGAAGCGCCATTGGGCAAGACAGCGGACAAAAGAGCCCCTCTCTGCTACCGCCCGTCTCTCGGTTCATCTCCAGCATCCAGCACCTCTCATCCTTTTGTTTCTTCGCGAGAGAGCTTTCAATGGGCGTGGTCTGACTTGCACCATCCGACGCCGTTTTTTCTCCTTCTCTCTCAAAATCTTCAATCAACTCACAATCGGGCCAGCTGACACGCGCCGATCGTACTGAGCGCATCCGGAGCTGAACGCCTCGCTCTCTCTCCAGCGCTTGACTTGGCCAAGGGCTGAGTACGGATCTGAGACTTCTCCACCTACAGTGAGTTCGCTCCGGCCGCCACACCCCCGAGCCGAGAACGTGGAAGGGTGCCCTCGCGCCGGAACGAGCATTGATGCTAATAAGGGCAGCTCACTCTCAGGAGCAATTACACAAATCGTCTTGGCCGTTCCGCCACTCTTCGTCTTCACATAGCGGAATCTACAGTCTATCAACCAGTTGAAGCATCCAGCATGGCTCAAAGGCATAACTCATGGGCGCCTTCGCCCTCGTCGTATGGCCCGCCACGGCCAGCCATGGACGGACATTACGCCTACGAACCCGAGCCAATGCGACTGCCACCTCCAATGCACTCAAACTCGCAACCGAGGCCCGTCGCACAGCAGCAGCCCGAATATCACCAAAACGACTACCATCAAGCCCCCTACTACCGCAGTGATTATCAGCATCAGCGCGAGTACCACCAACCCCCCTCGCCCAGCTACCATCAGCCGCCGCAGTACCAACACTACCAACAGCCACCGCCTCAACCGACACAGCTTACCGATCCGTACAGAGCAGCTCCCATGCCCCGCTATCCCCAGGAGTCGCCACGCGAATCACCGACATTGTCCGCGACTAAGAGTGAGCCATATGACGAGTACCAGGCGGCAAGAGAAGCACATTATCTCAAGCGTAACCAGCCTCCACAGATGCCGCACATGTCGCAGGGTGCCCCGCGGGTGTTGAACGACAATTACCAGGGCGGAGGAAAGGTCGCCATTCCATTCACGCCGCCCAGCCTGAGGATTCCCGCAGTGCGGTCTGGGTCCACGATCCCGACGGCCGGAGCACCGTGGAGTGCCACGAGCCAGCATGAAAGAGTCAAGATTGAGGATCTTTTGAGCGGCGGCAGCGACGATCGGAGGATGCTCCAGCGTGTTCCGGAACCAGAAGTCAAGGTGGTGCGAAACGAGTACGAGATCTTTTTCCGCCAACAACCCATGGCGGCCAGATGCTGCGGCTACGGCGAAAGAGACAGAAGAGTCATTGATCCGCCGCCCATTGTTCAGCTGCGGATAAACAACCCCGATCTCACGCCTGACGAGCTGTACAACAAGATTCATCACCCCGCCTACGTTGTGCACTGCAGTATCTGGAACGTGGACGGAGAAACCGACGAAACCAACATGCCCAACGATGGGATGCGACCAGGCAAGCGGATCATGGGCTCGCTGGTATCATCGCCATTTGTGGGCCAAGACGAAAACGGCAACGAAGGCTGTTTCTTCTGTTTCCCCGACATGTCAGTCCGCACACCGGGCAGCTTCCGTCTCAAATTTGTGTTGGTTGTCGTCGATCCGACGCACATGGCAAGGAAAGCTCCCATCCGGTCAACCATCATGAGCGACATATTTGTTGTCTACAGCGCAAAGGATTTCCCGGGCATGCAGGCCAGCACACCTCTCACCAAGCGTCTCAAAGAGCAAGGATGTCTTATTTCCATCAAAAAGGGCAACGAAAAGTCTGGTGGGAAGAACGCTCGTCGGCAAGTAGACAGCGACGACGACGAAGACGAGGAAGACAACGGTGGAGGTGGCGGCGGCGGAGGAGGAACCTCAACGACCAGGCGCAAAAAGACAAGAAAGCAGCGGTGAACGACAAAAGGAAAAAAACAAACCCCCCCCCCCCCCCCCACCGACTTGACACGGGATGGCAGCATAATGTAACACGGCGTTCGTTGGAGATTGGTAAATCGGCGAATAGACGGCGGCGATGGTGTTTCAATTGGGAGTTCTCGTCGGGTTTGGGGCCGTTCTTGACGATAGAGGCGTACAAGAACGAGTGTGCAATACTTGTTATACGTCGAAACCGTCTTTCCAAGGCCAGGCGATAATTTATCATCACGGCCTAGCAAAGCGAGGAATACCCGCTACGAAGGTCGCTTTTTATTTTATTTTATGTGTCTATCCCATTTGTTGCATATTTGTTGCTTTACTTTCTTCTCGATTCACTCATCATTTCTTCGTATCTATATATACCCTTTGTGGAAATTTTATGGGTTATGATCATGGAGAGACGCGAATTTGATATTGGGTTCGACTCTCGAGGCGGTTGCATCGTTGGCGGGAAAGACAGTCTTGTGCTCTTTTCCTACACGGGGACAAAGTACAGGCTTTTTTACTGTGACCTCGCTAGGTACCAGATGGATACAAAATTCAAAGTCGGGGCGCCGCCTTGTCAAACTCATTTCACATTGCTCAGCTACCAGTGATGCTGCGCTCAGCCGACACACGTCGGAGCGCACTTCCATTCCGACATGATCTGACTGCACGCCGCGAGCAAGGGAGACACTCCCGTTTGGGGAACTTGTCGCAACGCATGGTCCCATTGCCACGACTTTGGCGTCGATGGCGCCGACGATCCCCATCCGACAGCCGGGCCATCGTTGCAGGCGTTGCATTCCTCGGCTGAGCAGCGTGATCGTCTGAGGTTACACGGCCCGACACAGGGTGAAGGGCGAGCCGGGAAACACGTAGGGAGCAAAAAAATGGGCGAGGCCATCCGAGGCATGCGATTTGTCTCTCCAGGGACTCGTTCACCACTACCGTGTGGCATGCTCTCCGTCCTCGGGCCTTGGAGAAATCTTTCTTAGCATCCTCAGGGCCCGAGGGGCTCGTCTTCCTCTTCGTGCCGTCCACGATACTCCCTGGCAAAGCCCTGGCGATCTGCCAACTGTGCGAGTCAGGGTTCATGGGTCCTTTGTTTTCCCCCTCCCCTCGTCTCCAATTGTCCTGGTTCGTGGGTTGTGGGCCATTGAACCATTTCACCAATGCAAGGTACGCATACACAGCAATTGGCCCGCGATTCGAGCATCGCGGTAGCCGCCGCCCATTATCCAAAATAAAGTTTCGGGAGGGGACGGGCGAAACGGGTGACGGGTGGACGGGTGACGGGGTCACGGATGCTTACCCAGAAGAACCAAACCGGCCCACGGTCCACCGAACGGGTACGCAGTATGGGCGCGCAATCTCCTACATTTTCTGCGAAGTTTACGGGATACCTAGGTACTCCAGGCGGGAACGATTTCCCGTTCGGCGGGGTCCAGTGGCGCGCGGGCACATGGGCATTGAGGTGGGCACACGCGGGTCTTGGTCCGGGCTTTTCTTTCCCTCGTCTTGCTCTTCGTCTTCGTCTTCTTGGACCACCAGTCCAACAGGTAGGTAGGGAGTACGGAGTACGGGTGTGAGGATACTTAGGGGACCGAGACATCCACAGACTTTTCCCTTGGATCGTTGGGGAAAAAAAAGAAGAACAAAATGTGTGGCGCTGTGGTTGCTCCAAAAACTCGCGTGGCTTAGAGTCATTGACATCATTGATTTTTTTTTTGTATCCCCGTACTCAGCCAATCGACCCATGTTGTCTCAATGCAGAACATGTCCTCTTGGACGCGTTTCCTAACGCGACAAGTCTGCTTCCCTTGGCTGAGTGACATGCCAATTGGGACACCATCCTAGAATTGAGGTGAAGGTATCTCGTGATTTCGTGTTTGCGTTACACAGCGTTCGTGACCTACCATCTCACTTACCCCAATATCTCTCAGTCACATACCTCGCCCTCACACACTCCCACGCACACACACTCTCACTCACAAACACAATGGCACCCGGCCCGCGCGTGATATACTGGTTCCGGACCGACCTCCGGCTCCACGACTCGCCCGCCCTTGCGGCCGCCCTGGCGCTCGAGCCGGCCGCCCTGTGGCCCATCTTCACCTGGGATCCGCACTACGTGTACCGCGCCCGAGGCGGCCTGAACCGGTGGCAGTTTCTGTTTGTTTCCCCCACGCCCCACGCCCCCCTTGCGGAGGGAGTAACGAGCAAGAAACAATGACTTACACAAACCGTTGTGCTCAGATTGGACTGTCAGAATGACCTATCAGAGAGCATCACCAAGCTCAACCCAAAGTCCAAGCTCTTTGTGCTACGCGAGGGCCCGCAGACGCTGTTCCCCAAGCTCTTCAAGGCGTGGAAGGTGACGCACCTCGTCTTTGAAAAGGACACGGACGCGTACGGCCGCGAGCGGGACGAGGTGGTCATCAAAGCTGCCCAGGATGCCGGGGTGGAGGTGATCATCAAGAGCGGGCGGACGCTGTGGGACAGCGACGTCGTGGTCGAGAAGCACGGCGGCAAGCCGACCATGTCCATGTCGCAGCTGCAGGCGGCCGGCGCCAAGGTCGGGCCCATTGCGAAGCCCCTGGCCGCGCCGGAGTCGCTGCCGGATCCGGGTGAGATGCCGGTGGACTTTGAGCAGACGCCGCCCGAGACGAAGCCCGACTTCAACGCGGAGAACCGGACCGAGGGCGGGGACGCGGCGTACAAGAAGATTGCGGGGCCCAAGGGGGACTTTGCGATT